ATTTTTTTCTTGGTCAAGAAATCGATTCAACAAGCTATTAGCGTTTATATTCCCTGTTAAATAAACGCAAAATTTTCTGTTTATTCAGTCGGCTGTTCTGTGCGTAAAATACTTTTGGATTTTAACTATTTTTTAAATTTTCCTAAATTAATAAACTTTCCCCAATAGAAGATTTCTCTATCCTACAGAAGGAATGTTTTTAAAAATTGAAAAAAATACATTTATTTATCTAAACATTTTTGTAAAATATATAATTGTTTTGTGTATAATTATTTAAGTTTTCTTGTGGTAGAAAGAGTTTGCAAAAGTTTAGCCACCGGGCAGGATTCGAACCTGCGACCACCTGCTAGTTGTTGCTAGGCGCTTCCGCTCACTTATACTCACTCTACCTCTGAGCTACCTAGGCATCGACTAATGCTTTCTCTTTTCCTTTTTAGATCGTTTAACCCTCGCCTAAGCGTTTTAAATGCTGCTGAGTGAATCATCCTTACATGGTGTTAGGCGGTGGTTTACAATAAAATTTTTGTTAAGTGTTTTTAAAATGAATTTAAGCAGAAGATAATTGAATAAATCGGGGACATTTTTTGTAAATAATCAGACAAAATAAAAATTCTTTAAATCGCTCATTAAAACTCTAGAAATACTCATTTAAACTCCAAATTAAATATTTAAAAAATAATAATATTGTAAAATAATTTTTTCATACCATCAGATTTGTTGTTGTTGCTCAATTTCCATATTTTAAGAATAAATTTCACTTTCATTTCCAACATTATATTCACCAAAATCTTGAGAATTTGTTGTAGAATCGAGAAGAGAATTGTTGCTGCTGTTGTTAGTCCAGGCACAGCTGTTGTTTAGAATGTCATGAATTCGATAACGTTCACGGATACGTGGACGGACATCCTGACCCTACAAAAAAAAATAATTTAGTCTGGTTTATCAAAAAATTAGTTTAGTACCCCTATTATATTTTCCAATTTAAGAAGCTAACTCAGAATTAAAAAAAAGTTGAGATCTTTCAATTCCACTAAAAATAAATCATATGGTCCTTTTTCCCTATTTTTAATATTCTATGTGTTTTAGAAATTTGTTGATTGAATTATTACAAATTTGTCAAAAAATCTTTTTGAATAATTTTTGCTGTGAGCCAAAATCTAACCATAAACCAGAGATATTTTCAGAAATTTTTTTCTGGTCTGATTTTTTAAAATTATTTTTCTGGAAAGATAAACATAGTAAAACCTTTTTCCTCAAAATTCTGTCCATTTTTATTCGATTAAAATGTCATATTTATATTACTGCTTGTATTGTCCCTATCTTTGCTCCCCTGTCATAAAGTCGTCCCTTTTATGATTTATAAAAGAGCAGTGATTGTGCCGACACAAAAAATAAATTCGCGATTTCGGGAATATCCCTGTAAAGGAGTATGAGACTTCCTATAAAAAATTAAGTTTAAACAAACCTCTCTACTTAAAGACTCCAAAAAAGGTATCAACTTCAACAATTCTGTATCATTCCTTTCAACAAACCAACTCTCAATTGGAATTCCATTGTCAATTTGATAGGCAAATGATTGAAGGCAATTGTCAATAATTACAGTTTTTGAAAGATCTCTTCCAAGAATACTCAAATCTTTGGTGTAATTGCTAGCAAATCTTCTGTTTCCAGGATCAAGTAAATTCTGAAGAAATAATTTCAAAATTGGTAGAAAAATGAAAAAAATTCAAACCAAAAGTTTTTCTGCATAAACTCTCTTACTCGCAATAAAGAGAAAATGATTTGACAACCGTTCAAGAAATTCGTGAAGATGAGGACGAACTCTGACAAAACCTTAAAAACGATATTTAAAAAAATTTATTTAAAAGGTTACAAAGTTATTTTGTCTCCTTAGAGAAGATGTGGATATCCGAAACCAAACCAAAGGACCTAACCGAAAAATCCTCTAATCCTCGATTCGGTGCTGAAACGATAACACCCTCTAACTACTATATGTATGTATGAGAATCATCCGTGTATGGCAGATTGCCTAGAGGTCCAGGTTACCCAAGAATATCCCATCACCCAGGAATACCCCCCCCCCCAAATCATCCAAGAATATCCCCTTTTATTCTGTATAATTGATCTGAATAAAATAAAAAACCTGGAAAACTTGATCTTGAAATTCAACTTCAAAAGTCATTGCAGCATCAGGTAATTCTTCAATACTACAATGAACCAATGTCTCATCCAAATCCAAAACTAGTGAATAAAGAGGTGTAGATAGATCTTGTCCTCAAAGGAAGTGCTGGACTTCGATAACGCGTTTCTTCTGTTGAAGGAGGCAGACTTTGAAGTAAAGCAATGCTTAAATAAATAATTAGTAAACGACTATATAGCATTCTAATTTTAAATTAATTTGGAAATCGTAACGAGTTTTTTGACATTTTTGTACAGACACTTTCTAATCTTTCATAAAATTTTTTCAATTTTTCTTTACTCAAAAATATAAAAAAATCTAAAAGTCCCCGAAATTTGCTTTTATTTGTTTGTTTAACAGAATAATATTTAAAAAGCAGAAATTAGTTACTGACAAGCCAACATAAAACAGAGACCTACGATTTGTTAAATAAACAATCAGATCTATGGTTGTCGGTTCGGACCAAAGAACCGATGATTTTTCGGTTCGTTTCTGGACATCCGAAGATATCCAAGAACCGACAACCCTAGCCAGATCACATTTCTGCCAAATCTCGTTGGCTGATTACTTCAAAAGGCAACCCTTCCAGAATTAAAAAATATACACAAAAAATTTACGATTGATTATCAATTTGTGGAGCAAATGAAGAATCATCAGAACCATCATGAGGCAATTGAATTTCTTGAAGAATAGAAGTAATTAAAGAAGAATCGTTGTTATTATTTAATTGATGGATTGTGTAAATTGGTGAAGTAGAATTGCTGGTTCCTTCAATTGATCCATCATTATCACTAAAATTTAAAAATATTAACAAAAGTTGAAGGTTATTGTGGGATATCCTAAACTAATTCTTGCGGGCAAGTTACAAAATAATCACGCTCTGTTTACCCAAACTTCCCCAAAGGTTTAAAAGTTGTTTCCATCCCTATTAAATCAGAAAAAATGGATAGGTTGTTGGAACATACAACTGAATTAATCCCCAACTATGTTTGTTGATTTCAGACCGAACTGAAAGCCTCGAAAAATTCTTAGCTTCATTAGTCAGTCCAGTTAATATACAAATTTGTTAAACCGACACCCCTAATCCCAACTATTGGAAGGGGTTCTGCTGATCGACTGAAAGTCTAAGAGAAAGTAAAGCAAAGTCAGGGCAGCTCAACCGCTCCAAAAGTCGAAAATTTCGAAGCCCTATAACTTTTCGATTTAAGGGGTAGGGCCGAAAAAGAAAAAATCTAGCAAAAACTAGCAATTCCTAAGATTTTTGATACAAGGCCCTAACAATTCAAAAAATTATTTCAAAAAACCTAAAATCCTTATTGTCCAATCCATCCAAATCAACAACACTGTCACCATCATCCTTTGCATTTTTCTGTTGTATTTGTTGACAATTAGATCTGCGTGCTCTTGTTGTGAATGAGGTTGAAGGTGTGGATTTTTTAGTAAAATTAGAAATGTTGTTTCTTCCTTAAAATTTTTTTAAAAACCCAGTTTATTAAAAGTTTTGACACCGGTCAAGAATCGAACCTGCCCTCTCTTGACAGTTATTGTTGGGCATATCGCTCATAATTAGGGTTGTCGATTCGGAACTGAACCGAGGACTACCAACAGCCATACTAATGAAAACCAAATGATGCCCGGAGGGTATTTTCTAGTGTAACAAAAACTGTTTATCCCAATATTCTTATAACAATGCTCAAAGAGGTCTACTTTTGTCCTTTCAAAAAATTTAAAAAATAATTTCGACAAGAGGACTCGAACCCACGACCTCCTTAATGACCCCATAAATACAAAAAAGATATTAAAATAAATTATTTATTGAAAAAAAAGTTGTTCAACGGGTGCCCTTTTATTTGAAGAAATTATTTTAGTTGGAAAAGAGATCGGCCTAAATCTTGATTTTCGCTAAACCGGAATCAAGTTAAAAGCATTTTTCAGTGTCCCTTGATTTTTTCCTTGGCTCACGGTGAATCTGGTTAGGGGCCCCGACCAAAAAGGTCTTTTTAATTCCCGATCTCTTGGTTGATTACCTCCCTTCCTAACAAAAAACTAAATTAAAATAAACCTTCTTTCCAAAACAAAACCAGCAATATAAAACCACAAAAAGAGCGCTTGATCAATTAAAAATGCTGGATGAACTAATTGTTTAGGTATTAAAAAGATGGGCATTAACCATTGAAGACAATACATTATTGAAAATAAATTTTTGTTTAAAGATTATTGAGTTGATTGAATCTAAAAAATAATTATAATTACTTTAATTGTTGCCAGCATGTGCACAAATTAAAAAAAAACAAAAATTCTTGATTTTATGGAAGCTTTATACAATAGGTCAGCAGACATTCGGTCTATAATCGGTTTGTGGACAATACAATTTACTCGTGGAAAAAATTGTTAAATCTCCTGTCAATTATAATTATGTAAGCGGTTTTAGAAAACTCCCTTAAACTGATTTCTTGGATAAATAACCAGAAAATAAAATTAAAAAACCTAAAAAGGAAGCATTCCTGCTCCTATAAAATTTTTGATGTCGTAGCAGTTCTAATAAGATGATCAGGCTGCCTTCGATAGTTTTGCTGATGTAGAGGTTGGAAATGTTGTTAACATAAGGGGTTGGGTCGAAAAATATATTATTTCGTTGTAGTAAATGGAGAAATTAAGTTTTTTCAAAAATAAATATCGATAAAAATCGATCTATTAGTAAAATCTTTGATTTCAACAAAAATTTTACTCACCAAATAAACAAAAAAAAGCAATAATATTTTGCTCAAAATAAATAATTTTTTTTATTCTTCCTCCATAAATTTTTCCTCAAAAAATATTCTTATTTTTGCCCCTTCTTCTTTGCCTCAGGATCAGATTTCTTCTTTGGCTCATCTTTCTTAACAGTCACGTCCGGTTTGTTCTTGCCATCATCAGCTTTTCCAGCATCTTTAGATGTCCCTGCTAAATAAAAAAATAGAATGATTTTGAAGAATTATTTAACCTTTTGATGTAGATGGCAAAATTTCATTCCAGACAGCACGTGAAGTGCTTGCAGCCATTTCCAACTTAAAAGCAAAATAATTTGTTAATTTTAGCTTATTTAAAATAAACCTTAATGTTGCGACTTTTAAGACGAGCAATCTCTTCGTCTTTCTGTGCGATGATCGCGTTTTTATTTTTAATTTCCTCGTCCTTTGTTTGAATAATTTTATCCTTTTCAGTAAGTTGTTCCATTTGTTTGTCAACCAGAGACATCAAGTAAACACTCGAGTTGTACGACGTGTCACCAGTTGTTGGTGCTAATGCCGTTGTTGGAGAACTTTGAGTGACTTGTAAATGAGAAGGATTCTCGTAAAGATCGTCTGCCATTTTCGTTTATCTCTAAAATTTAAAGCACTCGAGTTGTATTTTGCTTTTTTCACCCCAAGATTTCCTCATTTTTGCTGTTGTGCATGAAATCAGTAATTTAAGTTAACTTTCCGTAACATTTCTAAAGAGGTTACACCCACGAATTCTTGAACCAATGCCTCTCTTTAGAAATGTTACGGAAAGTTACCTTTCATAATCATTCGAAATACAACGGTAAACTATGGAAATTCTAGAGGTGAAAAAAGAAAATACAAACGATAAATTTAGCGTATTAAGCGTTTAGGCGGACTAAAAAGAGGGAAATCAATAGGTACGATGGGGGAATTACCAGTCTAAAACACTGTCTCCTAATCCGAAATATAAATTTTTTAACTGATCAAAATCGAATGCGCCAAAAATTACTGTATTCTTTCATGCTTTCGCTTCAATAAAAATTATCTCAAAAATGGTGAAATGAAAACCGACATATTGCCAAAAAAGGATGTAATTTAACGCTTCAAGCACACTGAAATGTGTACAAGGAAACTGTTATCATTTCCCAATAGGAAGTCGAAGCTCCTTTATTGAATGGTCCAAAAACTGACACTAAGCAATGTTTCCTTGCTAGTAATCAGTTCTTTATTTGGTAAACAAAAGGTTGATAAAAAGGTGAGAAGAATAGGCTCTACTGCAGTTTATGAGTCCAATGAAAAGGTTATGAGGCCAATCAGATTTTTGTGAGTTATGGGGTAGGTAGGCAGATCAAGGCTGAAAATGGAACGATATAAAAAGGTGAGAAGCTAGTAATCAGTTTTTTTTCACTCATAAACTGTGATGGGACTCATAAACTTTTTATTGGACTCATAAAGCGTGATTGGACTCATAAACTGCAGTAGAGCCGAAGAATGTATAAAGGGAAATGTACAAACCAAAAGAGTATCTTTTGAAGGAAAATGCCAGCCTTTAAGCATGGCATTGCCAGCGTAGGGCACAGCATTGTTGTTGATGTTTGAATTAAGTAGGAACTTTTGATGCTTTTTGTTTGCATCTTTTGAAGGAAAATGCCAGCCTTTAAGCATGGCAATACCAGCGTAGAGCACAGCATTTTTGAAGTTGATGTTTGAATAAAGTAGTAACTTTTGATGCTTTTTGTTTGCTGATGTATATTTAAATTCGAGGGCTGTTGGGCTATATTAGAAGGCGGTTAAAGAACTCCAGACAGGAAAAACAAACATTATCTAAAATTAAAAAAAAACTAAAATAAGTAAAAATCTCAATTAAAACCTCACCAAAAATAAATCCAGAAAGTCCATATTTTCGAGACAATTTGCTGTGTAAACTATTTGTCCATTGTTTAGACCAACATCGACCAATAAGTGTCAACACTTCAACACATTTTTGCATCAATTTATCAGCAGATTCAGCCAACTGGGGGGAATTTAGGAGAAAGATGGGTGATTGTATAATCCTAAAAAAAAGAAATAAAAAAATTTGAATTTGGGCCACTTTTCATTTCAGATCTGACAACTAATTTGGGTATACAGAAAAGTGTCACCTCATATTTCAGTGAAAAATGTGCTTATAAACATTTCAATGTATGGCTCGATAGGGATTTGATGAAAAAAAATGAGTTGACTGACTTTTGTTTTATATATCGAAAAATCAAGGCAAGAGAAAGGGAAGAGGCCGAGGGTTGAGGAGGCCCTCAAAAAATATTCCAAAAATACTCAATTATTAAAAACGTAGGTATAATTGGGTTTGAGGGCCTGAATCATAATTATATGCTCACTACTGTGAGCTGAGTATGAAACTAGATATGCTCCCGAAGATCGAAAACCCATAAGGGGCCAAGCTAATTTTTGGGATGAAAATCCGAAAATGCAAATAATAGCTCATTCGAAAAAGCTCGTCGAGCGAAGTCGATTATCACCAAAATCAACGAAATTCGACTTGATCTGACAAGTTTATGACCGCGGAATGGTGCGGAGACCATCGTGTAGCAAAGACCGTGCCCTGGCTTCCCTCCGTAGCAGAAGAGTTTTTTCGGCAAAAATTCAGTTGGTCATAACTTTGTTCAGAATCATCGAATCGAGCTAATTTTGATGTCGTTCGACTTAGCTCGACAGCTATTTCGAATAACATACATATATCGTCCCGATAGTCTGGGCCCTCAAAACCAATTTTTTCAGAACGGGGAATAGAATCCAAAAGCATTTTTAAAACTCAAGATCAAAGGGGAAAGCAATACTAATACCATAAAACCCAAAAACACCAAACCTCATAACTTTTTGAAGCTCAGAAGAGTGCACATTAGACTTCCATTCCTCTAAAATCCAAATCAAAGTGTCCAAAGCTTTGTGTTGACTGCCAATTCTCTGTCCCTCAGTTATTGTAGCAATATGAAGAAGGCCTTATGAGTTCGAGTTAAAAAATTTTTTTTCTGAATTTTTAAAATTTAAAACATGAAAAAAAATTTCGGGCTCAAGTCAATTTTGTTTTGTCTAAGAAAAATGGGAGAAACAAATGAGGGAAAAAATAATTAAAAAAAATGCACACAAGCAGAATGAAAAAATCGATGATGAAAACAAGCAAGAGTTGTTACTTATTAAACACAGTGACAATATGAATATGCGCGTTTGTTTAAAATAGTTAAACACAATTTTAGATTTACTTTGTTTTTTAATTTACTTTGAGTAACTCGATTTCACTTTTTTGGTCACTAAAAAATTTTCACTTCTGGACATTTACCAATTTTTTCTGAGTTTTAGAACTTCTGCCTTTTTATTTACTTTCGGCAATTTTGCCCCGAATTAGCAGAATTAGAAAATTTTCACGCTTCCCACATCTTTAATTCCTTTCTTAGAAATCTTTTTCCATCTTTCCATCATAAAATATCTTTATCTCGTGAAGGAATACTTTTTTTAAAAATTAAAAAAAAGTATTTACATGTCTATCATTAACATTTTTGTAAAATGGTTTTTTCTTAATAGTCCTCTAGAAGGTCGATTTATTAGGTGACGGTCTAATAGAGACAGTCGGTTTATATTTCAATGCTGGAAAATCTTTTTCATCTTTAATTTTTTTGAACGGCGCATTCCAGCACTAGAACAAATATTAAACTAGAACATAATTATTATATTTCAATAGAATTATCACTTCCATTTTCTGCATACTCATTAAGATCAATCTCAAAAAATTTTAGTAAATTCGTTATCTAAACGTAATCAAGTATTAGCCATTTTTCTGTAAAAATTGGTGTATTAATAAGTCTGCGAGTCCTACTCGATTTTGTGATACATGTAAGTTGGATAGTTAATGTTTTGGAGAGAAATAGAGGATTTGGAGGGGTTATGTGAAGGATATAAGAGGATTTGGAGGGATCAAGGGGTTTAACGAAGTAGCGGGGGATTACGGAGATTATCATGTAATTTGGGGCGATCAAGGAGATTTAAAAGATACCATGGGATTATATCCCGTATTAATCATAATCCCGTATTAAATGATTTAGCAGGTGATCAACAGCAAGCAGCAAAGCTTATACACTGGTTTAACGAAGTAGCGGGGGATATACTCATTCCAAACCGGGTAATTCCAAACCTGGTCTCCCCTTCTTTCCTTCATTGTGCATAATGGTCAGATTTTCTCCTTCCTCTCCCTCCTCTATTTGACCTGTGGCATATTCAAACAAAAGACATTGATAAAGAGAAGATTAATTTTATAGACGTACACTTATTTTTTGCCATCAAACAATGTTAAACAAAAAAAAAGAATTAAATAAATTGATTTAGTATATAACATTATGAATTTCTGTGTAAAAACATTAAATTATTATTTATATTTAAAAATATAGAAATGAAAATTTTTAATATTCGCATTTTCATGAAAAACTACGTTTAAACGAAACGACTTGATGCTTTGTTTGGTAAGTTTGGACTTTTTCAAGGAAACGGACCTAAGTTTGGTAAGTTTGGACTTTTTCAAGGAAACGGACCTAAGTACCCGGACCTGCCCTATAATTTTTGGTATCATGTTTTCAGTTTTAATCCTTGTGAAGTACTTGATAAGATTGTAAAATACTCTCATTACACCGTTGAATATGCTACGGGGTAAATAGAGGAAAGAGGGAAAGAAGAAAATTCGACCATTATTTAGAATCTTAGGGAAGAAAAAAATGGGGACCAGGTTTGGAATTACCGTATACTCATATATATTAGTATACTCTTATACTCTGGGATTGGGAAGATTATCAAAAATTTATTGGTAGCAACGGATTGTTCCGAGAATTCGGAAAGATTGCGATCCATTGAAGGTAGTTTGTGAGAGCGATATTTCGATCGGAAAGCGACTCCGCGGGTAGACCACACATTTTCGAGTGTGGTAATCCTGAACCGGTTCAGTTCGAAAAATTATCATTAAAAATATGTTAATATAATTTTTTAATAAAATGATGACAAGCATTTCGGCCAACCTGAGGGAAATAAGAGGCAAGGGCATTGAGCATTGCTCCTTTGAACGTGGCCGTGTCCAAAAATGTGGAGGAAATGGTGCGGTCTGGATGAGAAAATTGGAGGTTTGTTTAAAGAAACAACGGTTATTGTTTGTGACGGTTGGATAGATAAGTTTCGCCCAATTTATCAACAATAACAAACTTCACAAACTAAAAAATTGCTGATAGCAGGTGAGAAGACAGTTATCAGTGTACTTTGAGGCACACAAATGAACGCCTAACTCCAGAAAATAATGAACGCCTAACTCCTGGAAGAAATGCAATGGAAATGGATAGTTTGGCTAGAGAGACCGATCAACCTCCCTTGCATGCCACTGGTACTAATACATCAAACTAATCCGATGGTTTAGAATTCAACATCAATTTCTGCCAGCGACCAGTACAAACTAACTGTGATGGTTTTACGCAGGCATGCCTAACAAATTTGATGGAAGTGGTGAGTTTTGGAATGATGGAAGAGTCAACGTGGTCCTGAGCAGAGAAAAATTTGGAATGATGTATTGTTGAATTGTCTATATA